ATGCCAAGTAAACTACACTGAGCTTCCATATCGCCCCCACACCATGCTTGTATCTCCTGCAGGCTCTCAGCAGCAACAAAGCAAACAACTGGTGAAACTGAAAGTGAAACTGTCTGCTGAGCTTCCAGTACTACTTCTGAGCGCAGCCCTTTTCAGATTCAAAATACCGTTGAGGAAATGTATTTCCAGATGCCAGGAAAACTACACTGAGCTTCCATATCGCAGCGCACCTCCCCTCCCCCCRTGTGTTGAAATGGGTGAGACAGAAGCAGAAGGAAGTTCTTAAAGAGACAGAGGCCAATTTCAAGGTGTTTAGAAACGGAAATGATGAGAAAGAGAGTTTATTTTCTATTTAAACATAAACAGCATTTTAATAACAGCTAAAGGTGACATAGATACTTTATTATTTTATAGAACCTAAATATATGCCTGAGAAACACATAATATTGCCCCTTTAAATTATATTGTCAATTTCATCTCTAACTTTGTTTGACACTAAGGACAGTCTGTTTTGTTTTCTCTGTGTAACATCTGTTCCTGTAGGTTGTGGTATTAATGTGACAAACAGCAACCCAACATTGTGCATCAATGACCTGATCCAGGAGTACAACACACAGAATAATTGCAGTCTGGAACCACTCAGCTGCCCGCAGCTCATTGCCCGGAGTCTGAACTGCTTGGAAAATCTCATTAGCCGTTTTCAACAAGGAGGCCCAGATGCTGTCTTGCCCACCTACTATAAGAGATGGCTTCACACGTAAGTGTGGCACACAGATATGAAAATAAAATAAAAGTTCAAACATCTCCATCCATCTCCCGCCTCCTCAGATGACCCTGAACCACCGACCCTTCCTTGACAAGAGACATTTCAACTCAGAGCATGAGAACAATAAGGTTCACCTTTTAAACTCTGTATTACTGATGTGTGAGGGGAGTTGTTTGATGGTCAGCTGCAGATAACAGTGCAGGCTGCAGTGCAAAACAGGAGGAGGAGGACTGGGGAGAGTAGTGATCTTATTTCTAGTGACAGAACGGTTAGGGAAATGCCAATGCTGTAAACAAATAAATAAAACTCAACCAGTGATTGGTTGACTTATTTAATTTTATTTATTGTTTTTTAACATCCTGCAGGCTCTGAAAGTAAATATGAATCTGAGTTTTTGATTAAAAAAAGTCCATGAGATATCTCTAAACATCTGTATTCCTGCAAAATGAGGGAARATCTGTGTAAATTACAGATAATCTGTTGATGTGAGCAGTTATCAACACCCGTCCTCTTCTAGACGCACACCTGAGCCGGCCAATTGCTTTAGTTGACTGATACTGATTTAAATACAACTTAACATTCGTGAGGTATTTTGCATTGACTGTTTATGGTTGAGTGTGGGCGTGTAGAGGGTAGAACCTGAGGAGGGGTCTTGTGCTCAAACTCTGAGGTGAAGCTGTGATCTATGAAGGAAAATTGTTTGAAAGTGTGCGTGCGCATGGTTTTATAAATCTGAATTTTTTTTGGCATACACCATTTTCGCCTATTGGCTGTACGTTCACTCTTAGTATGAATTCCTTGCAATCCTATATAAATGAGCCCCAGGTGAGAGATTGTGCCATGTACACACGGAGGAATTTGGTGCTGTTCACAATCTCCACAGTGGATTCATTGATATTTAGTGGATAGGGATCACTTTTTTCCTTCTGAAGTCGACAATCTTTTTGGTTTTATCAACATTCAAAGACAGGTTGTTGCTCCCACACCACTCTGTCAGCCGTTTCACCTCCTCTCTGTATGCTAACTCATGAGACCCACCACGGCCATGCCATTGGCAAACAATGATGTGATTTGAACTGTGCATTGCTGCACAGTCATTAGTCAGCAGAGTAAACAGCAGTGGACTGACCAAACAGCCCTGGTGGGGCCACCAATCAGCGTGATGGTGTGTTGCCGATCTTGAATGACTGAGGTCTCCCAGTCAGGAAGTCCAAGATCCAATTACAGAGCTCATCTAATAGTCAGATTTGTTTTGCAACTCTTTAAATAATTGCACATGTATCTGAGGGCAAACAATTTGTCCAAAATCTCCTGGTATACCTGCCCATTTCAGGCCGTACCATTGAGCTCTAGCACTTGACTCCTGCTCATCTTAGGGAGAGTTTACAGAAGGAGTATTCAAGTTCTGCCTTGGTTCAGTCAATCCACAGAGATGACGGCTTTCAAAAGCACTACTGTGTAATACTTGAATGGAAACACAGCTGAGGTAGATTCAAAAGCTTGATTAGATCCAAAATTGGAGACACATATGGCCGACCCTGAATTAATGAGAACTGCTAATAGACACTGATCAATTGTCGAACCTCGGATTCAAGAGGAGCAGTGTGGCTTTCGTCCTGGACCAGATCGTTCCCTTGCAGGGTTGCTAAGGTGGTCATGGGAGTTTGCCCCTCCGGTCTACATGTGTTTTGTAGACTTGGAGAAGGCTTATAACAGTGTTCCTTGAGGCATTCTGTTGGGGGTGCTGCTGGAGTATGGAGGGTCTGGTTTGCTACTAAGAGCGATCCAGTCCCTATATAACCAAGATGGAGCTGTGTTTGATTCTTGGCACAAAGTCGAGCTTGTGCAGGTTGGACTCCAGGGCTTTCCCTTGTCTCTGATCCTGTTTGTAGTGTTTATGGACAGAATCTCAAGGTGCAGTCATGAAGAGGAGGGTGTCTGGTTTGGGAACCACGGGGTCTAGTCTCTACTGTATGCAGATGATGTGGTTCTGTTGGTGTCTTCAGACCAAGATCTTCAGCGTGCACTGGAACGGTTCACAGCTGAGTGTGAAGCAGCTGGGATGAAAGTCAGTTCCTCTAAGTCTGAGGCCATGGTTCTTGATCGGAAAAGGGTGGAATGCTCCCTCCGGGTTGGGGGAGAGTCTCTGCCTCAAGTGGAGGAGTTTAAGTATCTGGGTGTCTTGTTCTCGAGTGATGGTAGGATGGAGCGAGAGTTGAATCGATGGATTGGGGCCTCATCCTTAGTAATGAGGGAGCTGCTTCGGTCAGTTGTGGTGAAAAAAGTACCTGAGGAGTCGAAAGGCAAAGCTCTGGATTTACTGCTCTGTCTTCATTCCAACCCTCACCTATGGTCATGAGGCATGGATCATGACCAAAAGAACCAGATCCCAGATACAAGCAGCTAAAATGACCTTTCTTCGTAGGGTGAGAAGCTCCGTCATCCGGGGGAAGCTCGGAGTAGAGCCACTGCTCCTCCACATCGAAAGGAGCCAATTGAGGTGGTTCATCTGATTAGGACGCCTCCCTTTAGAGGTGTTCAGGGCATGTCCCACTGGTAGAAGGCCCCGTGGAAGACCCAGGACTCGCTGGAGGGATCATGTATCCTCTCTGGCCTGGGAACACATCGGGGTCCCCCAGAACGAACTGGAAAGTGTCGCTGGAGAGAGGAAGGTCTAAGTTTCTCTCCTGGACCTGTTGCCTCCGCGACACAAATACTGATAAGCGGAAGAAGATGGAGATGGAGATGCTAATAGGCACAGCCGAGAGAGAGATGCTGTGGCACCAGATTCTCAGAAAGACCTTACAAATATTCCTCATCATGGTACAATTCTAAGCTGAACAAAGTCGACAGCACACTGGAAGTAACGTGAGACAGTTCTAGTTGTGTTTGTAGTTTCTGCTAAATAACTTATTTTGTGGTTTGTGAACTTCTAAATAAAGAGAAGATGTTTAAGTGTTTACTTATTTTAGGGTCTAGCTTCATCTTATCCCTCCAGTCACATAACTCAAACTTRAAAAATGAATTATTGCACTGGTTGTTTTAATCCCACCACATGGTGCATTCCAACAAACTGTAAATATAAAAATCCACATTGTAACAAAAGTTGCTCTAAATAAAGAAAATTGAAGGGTAAATATCTTATTTAGGCTTACATAAACAATTAAAATAATACAGCTTGTATGTTTTTCATTAACTGATGAAATTTTTACAGAAACAGTAAGTTCTGTAGATGACTGCTAGAATATCAGTGGGAATTATTGAATTTACATGTTGTACCAGAACGCACTGAGTTGCCATAAAACGTTGTATATTAAATATTTTGTTTAGTTACAGAAGCACTGATTGTATGACTACACATACATACTGTATTATCTAAATTGAAGGCCCAGCTCTAAAAGTCACAAGCTGCATTTCCATTGACCATGAAAATGTGCAAATTAGGATTTCGAAAATAAATTTGCTCAATGGAAACGCATCATTTTCGAAAAAATTAAGTTTTTCGACAAACTGTTTTTGCGCTAGGATGAGGTGGTTTTTTGGCCGTATCAAAATTGGTGTTTTTCGCAAAAATGCAATGGAAACATTTTTTTCGCATCACAGGAGTCACGTGATCAACAACCRGCTGTTTCTACTGGTGAAAAAGACGACGACGAAGAAGATAACAGGAAGTAGAAGTAGTAGTAATATCACAGAAGTAGTATAAAATAGTAAACTCACCGACCACAATTTCCCAAAAACACAGCATACGTAGCCGCTCCCAAGTAGGGACTTGTCTCTGGAAAGCCTCGATAAAAGACGCCGACGTCTCCTCTGATGATGAGTGCTAGTGTCGTGGTAGCAACATGCTATGTGTTTACATCCATCGCCACCATGTTTGTAATGACTTATCATGAGAACAAATGTATTCACGTGTGACTTTAATAGCATTTCTTACTTAATGGAAACACCGCAGTTGCGAAACGGTGTTTTTTTTTTTTTTTTTACATTAACAGAATATCGACAAAGTTTTGCGCACATTTGCAATGGGAACACAGCTACAGTTCACCATTGTTACTTCTTTAAAAAGAGGTTATTAGTACTGRATGACCATGTGCCTTTTCATTACTGGAGTGGGGTTTTGGCTGAATATGCACGGTAGTTAGAAGTATTTGTGTGTTTTGGCTCTCAGTTTTCTTTTGATTCAAAGGAATCAATCCATTCAGTATTAAAACATGCTTAACTTTGTTTTATGTTCTGCCTTCAGTGRGACTCAGGTGCAACTCTGGAGTGAAGAAGGACCAGAAGCTCAGGTGGTGGGTCTGGACGACAACGGCTTCTTGCAGGTGTACAGTAAAGAGCAGGGGCTGATCTCAGTGGAGCCTGATGGAAACTCGTTTGATATGTTGAAGAACCTGATTGTCATGAAGCAGCGTTAGAACCAAACCCAGCCAAGACTCATTTATCTGCAGGCAGGCCTTTTGGAATCACTTTAACACATTTCTTGTTCGCAGCAGTTCAGTCTGCAGAAGATTGAGTGTAATTCAAATGATTTATTTGTTATAACTGGAATTTTGTAACCATTACTTTGCATATTTTAAAACATGGTCAAATAAAGTGCAGGTGAAGGCAGCAGTTAGATGAAACAGTTGGAGGATTTCTACATTTCCCTGCAGTAAAGTAGAAGAGTAACTGGAAATAAAACGTATTTTAGAATTATTTTGAATAATTAAGTCAATTTGAGTCCCTAAAACAGATGTTTCTGCAGATTGAAGAGATGTAATTGTTAATCCTTCACTCTGTTTGGGTGTTAATGACCCCATGTTAAAACTTAGGGTCAGTTTTTGTGTTTTAAAGTGACTATTTTTTGACTCAAAAGTTATTGACAAAGTTTGTGTCATTTTTTTTATGATTTAATGAGAACCAGTTGCACAAAGAATTAGTTGCTGTTCTAACATTCCTGTGGAGACATTTTGTCTTTTGAGCGATTTAAATAAATTACAGCTAGATTGCAGCCAAACCTTGTTTGTTCAAAGAAATGTTCTCAAACAAGGACAACTTGGCTTGCATATTTTACTGAAAGAGATTAAATGTTTTAAATGTTAGAGCAGCTACATGTATGTCTGCTACATGTTTAAGATTTAACTTTTATCTGGTTCTTTTCAGTCACCCTGCCTGATATAACTTTAATCTGATTTCAGTGAGAGAAGAACCATTGTGTGTGTTCTGCTGTAACTTCCAGAAAAATAAACTATTTCCAAAGAATTGTCTTGTTGATTACTTTAACCTGATTACATCAATTTTCATAATCCTGATTAGTAGAAATGTCAGAAAAATAGATTGGCTTGAGTTAAATGAGTGAAGAAACAAACTAAATGTGGAAAAAGCATGGCTGTCACTGGAGGAACAAAATCAAATTTATGTACAACTTTCTAAATTAATTTTAATTAGTCTAATCGTCGTATAGTACGGAATTAAGTTATTACGAGAAAACCATGGAAAATGATTATATGCAGAAAACWATCGCTCAGCTCCTGTAGTATCATAGATCTGTAGATTTGATACATTGTATAAAAATCTATACGCAGTATAGATGAATCTTATTTTTTCTTATGAACATTACAAACTTAAGTCTTGTTTTTTAATGATCTGAAGACCTTTTTATCACATGTAACAAACAGCACACATGCTTGAAGACGGCTGTAAAGCTAATTAGAGGACACACTTTAGTTTAACGTCCATATGATCAAATTATTTTCAATTGTTTTTATCATTTGTTTTTAAAGCAATTCTGTTGAATCACAATTCAAATTTCCATTTTCATTGGTCAACTTTTATTTATCTATTAGGGCTTTTTCAGTTTCAAGTAAATGAAGTTTATTTATATAACACCTTATATATGAAATTACAAAGCGCTTCACATAATAAAATACATCAAAACATTACAGCATTATATTCATACAAAAGTACAAGTAGTAACAAAAAGTTATTTCAGTGACAGTGTTCACATTGCAGGTAACACTTTGGGACAAATCCATAACTCAATGTAGATTGTATAACTCAGGGCATTTAACAATAAAAGAGATGCTCTGCAGTAATTACACTGAGCTGTTAGCTTGTGGTTTTATTATCCACAATAACTCTGTATTTCCCCCTGTTAATTAGKCTGTGGTTTGACCCCTTCAACCAGTCTATTTAACACCAGGTCAAACTAGTAATTTCTCCTAGACGTGCACAGAAGATGAACGTCAGGTGTTGATTTAACGCCTGCTCTTTTTCCTCRGGACCATCAATTGGCTGTGGAATTTCCTTTAAACAGGTGGCCTGTGGTTTCACTTCTGTACCAAGAAACAAATAATATACAGTGGAGGAAATAATTATTTGATCCCTTGCAGATTTTGCCCACTGACAATGAACAGCCTAGGTTAATTTTAACAGTGAGAGATAGAATATAAAAAGAAATCACATTGTACAAATTACATAAATTTATTTGCTTTCGGCAGAGAGAAAATAGTATTTGATCCTGAGGTGAAATAACCACGTCTTCTGGTTGAAGTGGAACTGCTGTTGCTCAATGAAGAGAGRACTCTGAAACAGGCTKGTTGAACAGCAAGAATMTTTATTTTGCAGTCCAGGAGATTACAGCCAAAAACCACATTGTGGCCTTCAAGCCAAATGATTCACCAAGGAAGAAAGATGAAGTACGAAGGCCAAGGGTGGGGGCGTACAAGGCTCTTTATAGGCTTCACAGATGTACCATCACGGTTTGCCTTAAGCATTCCTCTTCCTAATATGGTAATATGTGCCGAGCTCTGAAGCTGGAAAACCAAGAGACATCACATCTGTGCATTCCTGAGAAGAGGCCCCCACTCTTGGACACTACAATCCCCTACCAACCATTAAGAGTTTTGGCTCCTTGGCAGCAGTAGACGTCACACAGAGATGAGCTGGTTTTTGGTCAAACACTGTGTGATCCTTTAGCAGCTTTAGATAGTTCATGGAGGGAAGCTGAAGCACTTAAAAACCTTTTTAACTATGCACATGGATTTAGACAAAGACTTTACACAGCTTCACAGCTAACTAAAACCAAGTCTTCTGTGCAGAAGATGTGACAGAAAAGCTGAGTATTGTGTGTTTGTTCCAGGTGATCAGGTATTAGCTTTGTTACCTGTGGTTAGTTCACCATTTCAGGCAGAGTTCTCTGGTCCACACATTGTACTGAATCATCATGAACGGAATTATCTGGTTGCTACACCGGGTTATCGCAAACAAAAACAGTTGTTTCATGTCAATTTGTTAAAACCATATCATGTTCATGTCCTGGAAGACTCTGCAGAGGCGGTGCATCCAGTTTGTGTTGGTGCCATCTGTTGGTGAAACCTTTGGTGATGATGKTTTGCCTGATTTAGATCCTTTATTACTGGTTGACTGAAGAACTCAGAGGTGCTTAAGGACATTGTGTTGCATCACTTGTCAGAGTCAACAGTCTGAGTTCATTCTACCTTGTTTACAGATGTCCCATCTTGTACACATTTAATGGAACATGACATTGACGTAGGTGAAGCACAGCCCATTAAACAGTGATTTTATAGAGTGAGTCCAGAAAAGCGTAAATATACTGATGCTGAAGTTGACTATATGCTAAAAAATGGAATTGCCCAGGTGTCGTCCTCTAGTTGGGCTTCGCCTTGTTTATTAGTATCAAAGTCAGACAACACTTTTTGGTTTTGCTCTGACCTTAGAAAGGTCAATAGCCTGACAAAACCAGATCCTTAYCCTATTCCACACATTGATGGACTGAACTTATAGAGTGCTTTTCAAGTCCCTCCGGACCCCAAAGCGTTTTACACTAAAAGACATTCACCCATTCACACTCACATTCACACACTGATGATGGCAAACTACACTGTAGCCACAGCTGCCCTGGGGCACACTGACAGAGTAAATTGATGACTGCATTGATAAGCTTGGTGCTACTAAGTTTGATCTACTGTAAGGTTACTGGCAGGTTCTTTTAACCAAAAGGGCAGGTGAAGCTGCAGCTTTCATTACACCCACCGGGTTGTATTCATATTAGTTTATGGCATTTAGATTATGAAATGCTCTTGATACTTTCCAGCATCTAATGAATAAAGTTGTTGAAGGGGTAGAAGCAGTGATGTGTGGATCAATTTGACCTGCAAAATAACAGGAGGGCTAATGGTACCTAATCGTTGCGCTTTGTCTTTGTCATTTCCTTGTTTTTAAGAATGATAAAGACTGCCATATTTATACAAGCACACCAAAACCACAGCAACATTTTTATCAAATCTCAAAGCACATTTATCAATTTTTATTTGAAAACAGGACGTGCATAAATTCATTTAAACCAGATATCATAGAAATATGCTGAATTCTTATTATTTTTACCACCGTAAAGTAGTTTAACACTGAGTGTGTGCCACCAAAAGCATGAAGCGTGCCTGTGACGTGAATATCCTTCAAAACAAAAAGTCAAAGAAAACATATTTATATTTAAGAAAATTGTTATAATACACACAATTTTACACTTTTTGTGTACATAACTGGCATATTTTCTTTTTAAATTGACCAAGATGAAATTTAACAGGAAGTGACATCATGAGAGTATTGTCTAGGAAAAGGGAACTCCCTAGAGTTTATTTATTGAAAGAATATTATTTGAACTTACGAAAGGACAACTGATATTACCAACTTTTAAAAACTGTTACGGCCAGAGGTTTTTCTTCTATGTTTGTACTAAAGCATGGAATGACATTCCTCAAAACATAAAGTCCATTTCAAAACTACAGCTTTTTAAAGTGTAACTTACCCCCCTGTGAAAAGATAA